TATCTGTCCAATAAAACTGGACTTGCGGCACAGATTAACAAAGACAGAGATGGTGACATTACTAAAGTGGACCTACATTAGTCTTGATAGTTGACATTTAACAATCATAAACGGGGCCTGAAATGAAGGTACTGCCATGGATGTCCCAAGACCAACAATCACAGTTCAAGGGCTACAAACTGGTTAACTTATACTAATGCCTGTTTGCAGTCTTTGCAAACGTGAAATAGAATCTGCTTGTATTCTGCTAACTCAAATGTAATGAATCATCAGCTGCAGATCCAGTATTTTGGAGAAGGGGGGATGCACATAAATCATTATGTCCAAATTTTAGGGAGAAATGCTCTTCAGGGAAAGTATTTTCAGGGGAGAGGCAGGGGTGTGCACCCTCCTTTGGATCCGCCCCTGATCATATTAATAGACCAGTCAGCCCTTATCCTAATTGCTCAGAGATATGTCTCACTTTGTGAGTAAGCTGGGTTTTAAGGTGATTTTAGCAATATTCCAGCAATGTTATGAGAGGAGAACCAGTACATGAGCTTGATACATTACTCTATTACTTCAGTGATTGATATTATGAGCACGGGTCAATATTGTCAGGGTACAATGTGCACGATCGACCAAGCCAATAAGCATGACTGTCTGCTCTAGTATGTCACGTCCAGTTGGTCTTTGTGACAAATACTTTAACCCTTAAGCTGCCTGACCATATACAACATGGCAGTACCACATGGAAAACTATATGGTAATAACTTGCATTCAATATACATGCACGTTAAAGCTCTTTAATGGACAAGAATGATTGAGTTTAGTTTTACATTGCACTCAGCTATAGTCTGTAAATAATCGAGTGAGGATCAGACAATCCAGTGATCAACAACATGAGCATCAATCTATGCAATCGGGATACAACATGTGTCAACCAAGTCAGCGAGCCTGACCACACAATCCTGTTAGTCGCCTTTTTACAAGCATGGGTTACTGAAGATCAATTCTAACCAGGATCTTCACGGGTACCAAGTCATTGAGCTGACCTCTTGCACCATTATGTCACCACCAGTTGGTCTTTGTAACAAATGCTTAACCCCTAGCTAACCCATCATATACAACACGACAGTATCACATGGAAAACAATACAATAATAACTTGCATTTAATATACGTGAGAGTTAAAGCTCTGATTATCTACAAGATTTATCAAAACACCCCTAGAATTATTGATTATTCTTCAAAAGCAATTAAAGTTTGTAGTCAGAAAAATACTATTTATACACATAGATGAAAACAGCGCCACATTCCTGTGTTGGATAGCAACCTAGGGATATCTGGAAAAGACTGGAGACAGCAGGGTTAAACTTAAGGAGATAATTGTTATCTCCCTTGCTGTTTCCCAACAGTGAGTGAGTGAGTGAGTGAGTGAGTTTAGTTTTATGACGCACTCAGCAATATTCAAGTTATATGGCGGCGGTCTGTAAAAAATCGAGTCTGGACCAGACAATCCAGTGATCAACTGCATGAACATTGATCTGCACAATTGGAAACGAATGACATGTGTCAACAAAGTCAGCGGGCCTGACCACTCGATCCCGTTAGTTGCCTCTTACAACAAGCATGGGTTACTGAAGATCAATATTCTAACCCAGACCTTCACGGGTCGTTTGTCAACAGACCAAGGTCATCCCGACAGGTCCAACAGAAGTTGCTGCTCAAATGAACAATTGCTCTAATGAGTTTTACGTACAAACTCAGATTGTTTGCTGTGGGAATATTTTCCTGTTCGGAAGCAACTTTACTGAACTTGCTCCCTGCTGACCTCAGTCTAGCCCCTTCCTAATTTAAATTAAGACTAAAGACCTATCTATTTCCTCGGTGCAGTGAATGTTCTACTTATTTTGTACATAACTCTGCCATCTTATTGATCATATTTGCGGCTTGAGCGTTCCCCTTTGTGGTGCAGAATTCAGTGCATCAGAAATGTCCACACCATTATTGTTATTATCAGAACAGCTGTTTGAAACATGCATAAAATCCAAATTGAAACTGTTACGTTGCGATTCTGAAGCGAAGACTTCAATTAGTAGATAAAAGGGACAAGGAGCAGAGGTTTTCATGCTTAGTTTTAAATTATTGCTTTAAGCATGGTGCAAGCATACTTAAAGTACAATGTTGAAATATGTCAAAAGAAATCAAGAAATTATATATTTGGATATGGATATCTTGTGTAAATCCCTGTAAACACCACCTCTATAATACACTCTTTTCACAGCTGGGTAGATGGGGATGTCATCGATGATTGTGAAAACATTACTGCTAGGACATTGCATCAGACAACACCTATCAACAAATGTGAAGTGAAATATGCCCACAGATGATATTGTTACTCAGCCTGACACCTTAAACATACACATGAAAACACTATCTCATTCCTTTGCCTCACAACAACCTCGGAATACTGAGACAGACTGTAAAGTGACAATAGTTATCTCCCTTACTGTTTCTCGAAAGACTATCTTTTTGAAACATTCATAAAATCAAAGACTATATTTCTGAGGCAGAATTTCAGGCTTAATTCTCGATGATGTTCATTTGTCAGTGTTTGGAAAAACTGAAAAGTCATATGTCTAACTGTAGACCAAGAAATGTTCTTCAGCATTTATTAAGTTGTACTGAGGCCCTACAGATAGTTAGAAAGTCCAATCAACAGTCTAGACTACCGGGTGTCCGACTTCCATTTTTGTGGCTGAGTGGGTTAAGTGGTTGACTTTGTGTGCTGGGGATTAGGTGCCTGACTCTGAGGGTGTGGTTTCGAATCCTGGATGGGACTCAACACAACAAAAGTACCAAAATCTGTTCTTTACTAAGAAAGTGTAATCCCAAATATGACATATGTTACATTTGATCACTTTCTAAAAGGCATTGTGTAATCATATCTAGTGACAATGCCATTACTGATGAATTTGGAAATCAGACAACAAAAATAGATTCCCACACCTTAAGGAACAGCTAACACTACAATGTACTTTTCATTTGATAGGTTATAGTGGGCTAATTCAAGAGGACAGAATTCATGTACTTGCATTGTGCACTTACTTTTAGTAACCTTAGATGAAGTTCAACATGTTTGTACAGACTTGCGTGTGTATTTTTGATGGTTTCAGAAAACATTTGTTGATTCATCTTTTTAGTTTATTTATTTATGTGTTTATTTATTGAATATATATTTAAATATACATACAATACTTTTGTTCATCTTTAACACTCTTGTACTCTGTCCGATGAAGATCTGGGTTAGAATCGATCTTCAGTAACCCATGCCTGTCGTAAGAGACGACTAACGGGATCGGGTGGTCACGCTTGCTGACTTGGTTGACACATGTCATCATATCCTAATTGCGTACGTCGATGCTCATGCTGTTGATCACTGGATTGTCTGGTCCAGACTCAATTATTTACAGGCTGCCACCATAATGCTGGAATATTTCTGAGTGCGGCATAAAACTGAATGCACTCATTCACTCTTGTACTCTATTACACAGCTTAGTCATGCCTGATGTTAATCTATTTATAAAAAAAACACATTTTTTTGCAGCTAAATGCAAAACTCTGCAGTTTAAATTTTTTAAACTGTAACAAGTCCATAGAAATCAGAAAATATAACAAAACTAGAACGCTTTTTGACTGTCACCACGCCTATAGTTTGGCATGAAATGCATGTGGACCCGGTTTTTTGTAAATATCTCTTCATCCAATGACCCAATCAATCTCAAACTGTGCAAGTGGATGTTTTGTCAGATAACCTAATCACATTGTAAATCACCGATTTTATGCATTTGTATTAAAGAATCTGTCTATGTAATTGTCAACAAAATAAACAGCAGAACGCAGACGACTTGCAGAAGGAGGGAGTCAATGACCTGTAACAGCAGCAGTGTTGGGTCATAAAGGTAAATGCATGTGCAGTTCATGATAGTTACCTGTGCACTGTACAGAGATAGACCGTTTGGATCATTCACATTGACTGCTTCTAGCTGTCATCATGAAAGCTTAGTCAGATGATGCTAAACGTTTAATGAGAAATGTGTTGAATTTTTTTTTTAAAAGAGAGCAAACGTAGCAAACCGATTTATAAGGTGTCGGATTACATGAAACGTACAACTTTTGCTCTTGGCATGAAAAAGAACATCGTGCTAAAAATTGTGACAAATAAACCAACAACCAATAAACAAAACCTTGTACAAAAAGGTAGGCATCCGAAGTTAGATTCTTTTGACATCAGGGTCATCAGAGATGTCATTCGCAGGCTATTTGCTAGAAATGAACACCTCTTCATACCTGTCACGTGCATAGCGCTGACCTACATTGACGAACGTTGACCTTTATGACCCAACACTGCCGCTGTTACAGGTCATTGGCTCCCTCCCTCTGCAAGCCGTCTGCGTTCTGCTGTTTATTTTGTTGACAGTTACATAGACAGATTCTTTAATACACATGCATAAAATCGGTGATTTACAATGTGATTAGGTTGTCTGACAAAACATCCACTTGCACAGTTTGAGATAGATTGGGTCATTGGATGAAGAGATATTTACAAAAAAAAGGGTCCACATGCATTTCATGCCAAACTATAGTAACACTTGTAACAGTTTTGTATATTTACTACATCTCGAACTACACACAATTGTTTTATTCATTTAGTTGGTTGTGTTTGCGTGTTACTTTCTTTTCAACACTGAAATATTTATGCCAGCGAAAGAACCCACAAATGTATATTCACGAAAATAATAAATTTGAGCAATATTTTTCACGACTACATGCATAATCTGTGTCTCTTAAAGACTTAAAACATTACAGCTAGCACAACAGGCAACATATACCAACAAATTTGAAGTGAAGGAAGCAAATGCATAACAGTGTTGCTCTGGGAGGCTGGTTAGACCAGGAACCATTCATGCAACATTGTGTACAGCACTATCACGGAAACTGTAACATAGTGAAACTGACCACATATTTTTTCTGTTTTTCCCACGTCTGTGTGTCCGAGATGGATGCACTTGGGTGTTTGTCTACGAGCCGGTCTGGCAAACTACTCATGATCAGGCATCTGAAATGGAGGAAACACCCATCAAATATGCTCACTGACAAACAATAATGTATTACGCATTTGGCTGAAACCGAGCAATAAAATCAAAGGTGAAAGACTGGGTGGTTAACGATGTAGAAAGCAGGAGTGAAAAATTACCAAACAAACACAGTAATGTGTGTGGAAAACAGAGAAGTGCATATGCTATTTGTCTATTTGGTTACATTCCGGGAGAGCCACATTTTCGAAACAGATAGCATAAATTGATGTGGCTCTCCCGGCAATAGTTACGGTTGCGTGGACATTGAATGTGGCTCTCCTGGCTATGCTGTCAAAACATGCTTAGTGATTCAAACGTGTTACCGTATTTAACAAAACAAGACATGTTTCCTCATAACTTTATTCAGATCACAACAGGTTTTTTTCTATGATTAGCACAATATGATATACTAATAGGTATATTACATATAATAATAATATCATAAAATAATAATAAATCTTAATCTGTAAAACATAATAATAATGATAATGGTTTAGTTTGTTGCCATGTGTGCAAACAGATAAAATCTCGTAAGATCACAAAACATTCTTTTTTACACCCCCTACTGCAGATGAAGGAGGTCGCCCACATGATCCATATACACCATGTCACTCTGATGTTGGCTCAGAAGCTTGGTCTTCAGTGATGCAATACGAGCGTCAATGGTTCTGTCCTGAAGGTGCTGTCCAGAAAGTCCCATGACAGCAACCTCTGTGAGAGACTGCTCACGTTGAAATAGCTTTAATATCTCGTAAATGTTAGGGTGGCACATCTTGACAAGTCTCTTTACCTTATTGTCCCATCCTTTTAGGTTATTGTTAGATTAATCTTAATCTAGGGACAGTCTTTTTCCAGTATTGCGATGTCATTGAACGTGTTCATTTTAAAGTCCTTAAATTAGCTACCGGTCTTAGATATAACACCCCGAACTTTATGGTTTATGGAGAAATTGGAAGACAACCTATTCAGCTCAAAATCTCTAAACGATTAATTATGTATTGGTGCAAATTGAAAGTTTCTCATACAAAAAAAAAAATAGCAGCTTTCATTCTAGATTTATATTATGGATGATGCTCCCTGGTTAAATCATTTGAAACATATATTTTGTAAATGCGGCTGTATTTGTAAACCCCTTTCATTATACTCAGTCCTGGATCATATCAAAATCTGAATCAATCCTGAAAGACCAGTTTTACAATCGTGGACCAGTGAAATGAATAATATTATAAGATTTTTAAAAACTCACCTTCACTCGACAAATACCATTTTGAGTAATAAACTCTGAGTGAAGAAGCTAAACACCACGCGTGTGAGTAGGAAAGATTATTAGTTTCTAGTGAAAACAATATTATACAATGTGATTTAGAATCATAAATAGGGATAGTCTTTTACCGGTATTGCTAAACACCACGCTTGTGAGTAAGAAAGATTATTCGTTTCTTGTGAAAACAATATTATACATGGGGACACTCTTTTACCGGTTACGGTAATCAATTAATTAATTAATCTATTGGAAATGTGGCTTTACCGACTACAGCAGTGTAATTAAAATGTGGCCTTCCCGGCAATAGTCATTTTTTAAATGTGGCTTTCCCGGCCTGTCACCGTCTATTTTGCACACTAAAATACTGTCCAGCAGAAACGTGAGTAGACTGTAGACTGTGTTGAGCATGGATCTACTATGTATTTAGAAAAGAACAATACCATATCATTTGCATAAAAGGTCATACAACTACAGGTATCAGCTGAAGATAAAGTTTTTTTCAACGAGTACAATGTGAAAATAATCTTTATGTACGATGGATGTCACGGACCACACACCTGACATCCAGTCTGTAGGAGATTGGAGTTGTGTCAGAAATGATACCTACTACGCTGTACTTAGGACTCGGTTTGACATGTCACTGTACAGCGTTTGAATGAATGTGAGCGCACATAATACAACTTCGTCAAGTTCAAACATGAAAAAGCTGAGGTGACAAGGGGTTTAATGTCAAATTCAAGATTACTGGATTTTCATTGCATGCATGTGTGTCTGTTTAACTCGTCAGTTTTATACTGCTAGCCCTCTGAAATACCATACTGTGTGTCTGTTTAACTCGTCTGGACAAATGTCAGTTTTATACTGCTAGCCCTCTGAAATACCATACTGTGTGTCTGTTTAACTCGTCTGGACAAATGTCAGTTTTATACTGCTAGCCCTCTGAAATACCATACTGTGTGTCTGTTTAACTCGTCTGGACGAATGTCAGTTTTATACTGCTAGCCCTCTGAAATACCATACTGTGTGTCTGTTTGACTCGTCTGGACGAATGTCAGTTTTATACTGCTAGCCCTCTGAAACACCATACGTGTGTCTGTTTAACTCGTCTGGACGAATGTCAGTTTTATACTGCTACCCCTCTGAAATACCATACTGCAGTTCTACATGGATACCCTACTTAGACACAGCATGCTGACTCTGAGCCGACAATCCTTATTTCATCCCTTATGAGCGCCACCTGTGAAGATCCAGGTTATAGAATTGGTCTTCAGCAAGCCATGCTTGTTTTAAGAGGCGTCTAATGGGATTGGGTGGTCAGGCTCGCTGACTTGGTTAACACATGTCATTGCATCCCAATTGTGCAGATCAATGCTCATGCTGTTGGTCACTGGATTGTCCGGTCCAGACTCGATCATTTTCAGACCTCCGTCATAAAGCTGGAATATTGCAGCGTTAAACAACAACCAACCAACCAACCAACCTTATGACTGACTGACTGAGTTTGGTTTTATGCCGCTTTTAGCAATATTCCGGCAACATCACGGCGGGGGACACCAGAAATGGGCTTCACACATTGTACCAATGTGGGGATTCGAACCCGGGTCTTCGGCGTGACGAGCCAACGCTTTAACCACTAGGCTACCCCACCGCCCCCAAACCAACCTTATGAGCGCCAGTCAGGGTAACAAGAAGTACAGTGTATCATCTTTAAATTTCTTTTGGTATTATTTGCAGCAGGGATGGAACCACCAGCCTTCAGCACTCCAGGCAGATGTACTACCCACTAAACCATGTAGTCAGTCTAAGAAGAATGAGGGCTTCTGCTGTTTATGTATGAGTAAAACGCACTTGCTGTCTGTTAAAGGTCACATGCAACGTAAAACACAACTTTGCAGATTCTGATACCTTTCGGTATGGACTTACCGAAACAAATCATCAAAAATGCAAATTCAACTTATAAAGTTGAAAAATAACGCGATGAAAAACAACGCGCGAAATCGGAGTTCAAACGATTCACTAATTTTCCCCAGACTTTTCGGGGGAAAACTGGTTTCAACAGCTGGGCTGCGCTCATAGCACGTGCGCAGTGAAATAGGTTCGCGCAAGTTGGAAGCGGGCTGTCTGGTGAATACTCGGTGAAGGCTTTGGTGTGAGCTATTTTCCTAATGTTTTGTTGATATCTCACAGGCACGAGCTTTTTATTTGTTATGACAGTAAATAAACTGTTTATATAATTTCATTTGTCTATTTCACCACACTTTCTTCTTACCGAGTCACTTTCTCAGTTCGATACTTAAAAGCAATGTCATTATTTAGCATTGACACAATTTCTAACTGTGATATAGATATGTCGTTGTCACAGACAAGACTCAATGTCTTGTTTTATTGACACCTGTGTGTCTGCCTGCCTGTCTGCTAATGACAGTATTCAATACACAACTGCGATCACTGACCACATGCAATTTGAACTTCAATCAGGCTATACACCATAAACAAAACGCATTGATTTATGGCCCGAGTTCGGTCTCTGTCACATTATGTAATTACACAGACAGGCAGGTGTGATACTTGTACACATGACATGTTATGATGTCTGTTGATTGCAAAATGTTATACACAAAAAATGAGCATGTATTTACAAACCCAACATCTCTATATATACACACACAATGAGCCGTGAGGGCATCTGCAAATGAACCAGCCGTTACACTTGAGTGCACACCCACCCGCTCTGACTGGGTTCGGTATCCCGGCTGCTTCGTTTCTTGGGAAGTAAACCCAAGTACACAATATTGCACTTTTGATTTGCGATTGTACGCTTATAATTTTGTCTATATGTTTTTTCATAACCAGCAATGTATATTATATGTCATGAATAAGTGATAATTGTGTTTTAATTATGTTTGATTTTTTGGTTGCATGTGACCTTTAAAAAAGTTTAAGTGCACAGATAAGTGCAAAAATCAGGTCGTCAAAATAGGATCTTAAGGAAGACATATCCCTTCTTGTTGCAAGTTGTTCAATCTTTACATGGCACATCAATTTCACTTTACTTAGAATTCACTTCTCAAAGATGTCATATCATCATCTAATTGTTTGTGTGAATACTATTGGAGTCAACAGGATACAAAACAAAATGGAAAGCATAAAGACTGTTACGTTGGACTTCTTCTTCCTGCATGCAATGGTTTCTCCCATTGTTTGTCACTTTTGCAGGAAGTCCTCAAGGAACAGGACAAATTTCAGTGACAATGTAGAGACATTTATCATAACTTGTGAACATTAACTGTTTTTATCATATTGAGTGAGTTTAGTTTTACGCCGCTTCTAGCAATATTCCAGCAATATCAGGGACAGCAGAAATGGGTTTCACACATTGTACCCATGTGGGGAATTGAACCCGGGTCTTCGGCTTGACGCACGCTTTAACCATTAGGCTAGCCAACTGTCCCTTTCATCATATTGACAGAGAAAAATGAAAAGAAAGATAACCCATGACCTAGTTTTGAGAATGTTATTTATGTGTCCCAAATAATTTTACAAAGTGTCAGAAAGTAATGAAACAAATGCCATTCACTTATAATAAGAATAGTAAGGCTCTTCATCTATTGCCGATGTTGTGTACATGCCATGGGTGTAATTTCGTTCATCTGCCATTTCGTTGCCAGTTCAGTCATTAGTATGCACCCCGAATCGTAGCACCCTATTTTGTACTCTTTTTGGGGTACCTTTTTTTATGTAACCACGTGCTGTCCGTGTTGTTGACAGTGTGCCTAGAATTGCAATGCCTGTATGAAAATAACAAAATGCCTCTAAATGTTATGACAAACTACCGACGACTACGTTGTCTTCTTTTCAACAAGCTTTAAAACAAAATAATATGTTAATGGCAACCTGTTACTAACTAGTACATCCAGTGGGGTAGCCTCATGGTTAAAAAGTCCGCTCATTGCGCTGAAGACCCGGGTTCAATTCCTCACATGGGCACAATGTGTGAAGCCCTTTTCTGGTGTCCCCCGTCGTGATATTGCTGGAATATTGCTAAAAGCAATGGCGGTTGTGGTTCACACTGTAACCTAGTTTGCTTTTCTACAGCTGGTAAACGTTTCATTGGAATCAGGAACTGTACCCAAGTGCTTCAAGTCTGCGGTGATCAAACCGCTGATCAAGAAACCTTCACTTGATCCCCAACAGCTTCAAAGCTACAGGCCAATATCGAACCTTCCATTCCTATCCAAAATTCTGGAGAAGATAGTGAAACGTCAGATTGAGGTGCATCTGACTGAACATGGACTGATGGACCAGTTCCAGTCTGCCTACAGGTCATCCCATAGCACAGAGACGGCACTCAACTGTGTCGTGGATAACTTGAAGTGGTCTGTAGATGAAGGTAACTTGGGAATGCTTGTTCTCTTAGACTTGTCTTCCGCCTTTGATACTGTGGATCATAAACTTCTGACAGATCGGTTGGAAAAGGATTACGGTATCCATGGGACTGCCCTCAAGTGGTGTGTTTCATATCTAGAGGACAGAACCCAGTCTGTATGTGTCGTAACACCATATCACCTGCTACTATATTGAAGTGTGGAGTACCCCAAGGCTCTGTCCTTGGGCCACTCCTGTTCACCCTTTATACCAAACCACTCGGCTCTCTAATCCGTGACCAGCATATCGCCCATCATTTTTACGCTGACGACACACAGCTCATGGATAACTTCACCAGTGACCCCCAGAGTCAGACTGAGGTCTGTGCCAGGACGGAGTCGTGTGTGAAAGATATTAAATACTGGATGTCTAAGAACATGCTACAACTAAATAGCGCAAAAACTGAACTCATGATTACTGCTTCTAAATCCAGATTGCAGAAATGTGGTATCGATCATCTTCAGATCGATGATGTAGAAATTCCTGTTTCTCATTGCGTTAAAAACCTAGGTGTGTTTTTTAGATGAGAATCTATGCATGGAGAAGCATATTAACCACCTATCAAAGATCTGCCACCACCACCTCAGGAACTTTGGTTCTATCCGTCACCTCCTTACTAGAAACACCACTGCCACACTGATGAGATCCCTAGTATTGTCGTGGTTAGACTACTGCAATAGTCTCTTGATTGGTATTACCAGTGACCAACTTCACAGACTGCAGAAACTGCAGAACACCGCTGCCAGGATTATCATGCGTGCAAAACTATCAGGTCATATCCAGCCTGCATTGAAGTCTCTCCACTGGTCGAGAATTAGGGAAAGAATAGAGTTTAAGATTTTAACTCTAACTTACCAAGCACTAAATGGAACTGCTCCACTCTATCTCCAAGCCCTTGTCTCACCCTACGTCCCACCGAGGAATCTCAGATCTGCCGATCAATCACTTCTTGTTGTGCCTCCATATAAACTCAAAACTTTCGGACATAGATCCTTCAAACATTCAGCTGCTTGCCTGTGGAACTCTCTCCCTACAGACATCAAATCTGCTCCAACTCTCTCAAGTTTCAAATCTCATCTAAAGACATTTCTTTTTCTTCGCTACTGACTGTCTTGTGTTTGCGCTTAGAGCATGGCCTAGTGTTGTGGAGTCAAGCGCATTACAAATGATCTATATTATTAATTTAAAACTATATCAACTACCTATGGATTCATCCTAGGACACTAAGTTAGATTTCAACTTAATGAGTAAATGGATCAAATTTACATATTTATACTCAATGGCTATGGTGCAGTGACATGTCCTCTGATGTCTTCTTCCAGAGCTGTGACGCCACACTATGATCAAGAAATACAGTTCGCTCTACCACCATGAAGAGTGTAATAAAGTACACTTTCGCCTTTAACTATTATAGTTATAGCACGAGGACGATTGCGTCCGAGTGCAATCTAAAATCATTTTTAAATTATTTCAAAATTATTTCTAAATTAGTTTAATTGTGTCTGTGATTAACGTAAAGCATATGGGACAATATGAATGTCGCATTTCTACTACCAACGTAGTTTAGATCAGTACATGTATCCAGATGAAGCTGACTAGTCACTCGAAATTCCAACAATTTCAACAAGTCACGGGGTGCTACGGAACAGTTTACTGTAGGAGGCTGTACGAGGCGATCACAACTGACATGTATTGTGATGTCGGTTAGCAAGAGTATGTTTGATTACGAGGGGGCAGACTAGAATGGCGCAGTGATGCCAATACATTGTGACGTAATGCAAAAAGGGTACATCATCCCCTGATAAAGTACTGTCGGCACCTTTAATTTTTCACCGAAGCATGTTAGAATACTTAATACACTACATTCACACCAGTGATTTACAGTACAACAAGTATAACAGGGGCATTATTTTTTCAGTATTTTCCAAATTTAACAAAATGCCTTCTTTTACAACTTGTGTTCAAGATTATTTCATTTATATAAAGATCTGCATTCATCATGTTCTAATACATCGACATTTGAAACTTAGCTGTACGTTACATTTCCTTATTACAAGTGTATTCCCAACAAGGAACTGATACTATCATATAAATGCTGGAAAGGAATCTGATTTGTACAAACTTACGACTCATTGAATGTAAAGGGATTTGAAACATATTCACATATTTGAATAAGTAATGTTGTAATTAATTCCAACTAAATATCACCATGAAATGTGAATGATGATCATGATGATATGTAATTGGAGAACAGGAAATTATACATGAATACAGAACAGGAAATGTGCAGAAAATTAATGTAATGGTCACACAGATTTATATTTATTCAGATCACTATTTATCATAAACCGCTACTGTTACAAACTGCTACTGTTGATTTAAACTCAATACTCTGTAAAAGAAATTTCAGGAAACTCATTAAATATCGGTTCAAAGAAGTCAGGTTTGTGTTTACATATTTTTATACTAAGTATACTTAGTAAAATAAGCTAAAATTTATCTCCACTGTCAAAAACAAAACACTGACAGTGGCATAGCTTTATCAACAACAGGAAATGCAATTACTTGTCTGACGCCAAACAAATTGAAGTCTATCAATGATGAACTAAATACAGCTACTATTATATGATAACACGCCAGAAAAAAATCCACAAGGATTCGGTAATCAACTGCTTACATGTCGAACGCTATATAATACTCACAGGCTCCTAGCGCTCGTGCAATTCAGCTCAGAAATCACAGTTACTTTCAGTTCTGCTTAAACCAAACGGGAAGAGACACACCTCTTGACATGACCTATAAAGTCATGTGACCACGTTCAGTTCCGAGAGAATGAGGCGGTTACTCAAATACGACATTCTCTTTTGGACTGGGAATAAACTAATCTTGTCTTTATTAATGAATATATTAAACAGCCGTTACCTATTGATTAAGTTTTAATTGACTGTGATAATGGCTTAGGTCCCCGCCTACCCACGTGTTGCATCAAAACATTGGAAACTAACTTTCATCCAATGGAAAGGCGTCATTCCCTTCACTGTATCGATTGACAATACTTCCCTACAACTTATTACATGACCGCGTTTCAAGTGACGGTTTTACAAATTTAACGTCATGAAAAGGGCCTGAAAAACAATTGTCATTGCGGGAGAATTAAAAAAAATACGACGTAAACTTTAGAGGATAAAAGACAGGCACTATAATCATCAGATAGTAGGGTCTGTAATAATAGCACAATAAAGCACTGCATTGTTTCCATGACGCCCTCCGAAATCAGGCTACTCGAAACATTTCAGATTCCATATATATTAATTCCTTCTTCATCAATCCCCAAATCCCTGTAATCAGAGACCAAAGCATTGCATGGTCTCTGCTGTAATTATGACAAACTTTCACAGTTTCATTTATATGGAATAAATACTGCTTTTGTTTCCTCTGCATATATTGAAAATATGCTGGTATACTTGAAATTGGGAAGATCAATAAAAATGAATAATTATGAAGACTTTAAAAACTCTTCACGCATTTTGTGGTTTTCTTGAAACCTGAGCAACGAGTTTTGGAAGTTTGTAATAAAGATATAATGAAACAAAGATCGGGTTGTAACTTTTTTTTCGCAGATTGAAGCCCCATGGCAGTATTATCAGGGAGATTGTTTGAAGTAACACATCTCCCGATAATGGAACTTGGGTAGAGGGTAAGCTCGCTTTATATACATGTAAATCTAGCGGTAATCCTAGACTAACAACTAGTCTCTGCAATGAACATATTTTACAGGAAAAAAAAGCTCATGGTGAAAAATAATAAATATAATGACATATCGGACATCAGTATTTCCACAGCATCATTGCCACCACAAGCTTTTAAGACGACCATGATTGCAACCATTTTTCGGAACGATCCATGATAGACAGCACCCTCCTCGACACACCTCCTGCTGATATCCCGGACAACGTGTTTGCTAATGTTATAATGAAACGAACTAAAATATAAAAGTCAACGCCATACTTTGTTTTATATATGGTGCCGTTTTAGTTCAGAAATCAGTAGCCGTTTTCGTCAAATGGTGCCGTTTTCGCCAAACATTTGGTGCCGTTCGGCTGTGGTGCCGTTTTAACTATAACCCTGAAAAGGAGCCCCGAGACTTTCTTCATTTTCAGATCTAGACTTGCCACATTTTCTAGACTTGCGTGGGATTCTTGGATATATTTGCTTCAGGGTCTGCATGACACACTAGGGTGATCCGTAGGAACCAGGTTTCATAGTACAACTGTTGACAAAAAGTGCAATATATGGTTCATATGTCCCATAAATAATATTTCTTAATAGCAAAAATGTATAATTTGATCTTCATCCCCTGCTTGGAATCAAAATAATGTGACAGTGTCACACGATATTACTGTTTAGCGAAGTGTTAGAAACGCTTTCTGTGCTTTCACAAAAATGTAGATGACAGTGGTTCTCTTGCCCCATTGTTACTGAAATATTCTTTAAGCTGAAAACTCCTGACAAATTGACAAATCTAACTTGATTACGTTAACCCACCACAAACTGGAACATATCAATGAAACTTATACAAAAGATTATAAGTGCGAACGCGTTCAAACGATTTATATTCTTACCCTTTTCTTTTACACACCATTACATTTAGTCTTACATGTTCTTCGCGTAGGACGTTTAATTAGTATTAATCAACCATTAATTGTGAAATTTTTCATCCACCCTGCAGACTTTTTGCAGTATGTCACACTTAATGATGAGTTGTTACGAAAATAGTTTTCCTGAATTTAGTCCAATCAAAGCCTAGATTACCATTTGCCCCGATCCTTGCATAGTTTCTAGAGAAGCGAACATGGCACCGACTTCAGAAGTGAGTACTGATCATTGTTGTGATTTAACTGGCTTGATTGTTTGTCTCACTATATTTGTAGGCATGATATATTTAAAATTACCTCATGTGCCACATTTTGGCCATGCGATACTCATGTGTTCTTCTCGGCCAACACAATGCTATGACAAGTCGGGTGCTTGTTTATGTTTGGTGACAGTTGTTCAGCCTAACAACTCATGGTAAGGAAACAGTACTTGAATTAAGTTAGTTACAGCAGTTCCCATTCCATGGTCGGCCTCTAATGATGCATGTAAGCAAATCTAATAAATACTTACCTGTACGTGCGAAACATAGGTGGATGCTTGCAACAAGAAATTCTACCCTGGATAATCAAACTATGAGGGTTCTTGAAGCAGCAAATACACTGACATTGTGTGATGCTCACATCCTTTTGCTAACCATGATGGCAATACTGCAGTTTAACAAGCACAGTTTTACCAGTATTTCAAAAAGTGTTCTAAGTAATCCGAGGTAAATCCATATTGTTTTCAACTTAATTCAAATATCATGGAAAAAGGTCACTAGCATGCATATGCACGTGATTGTTTATGACTGAGCGCTATTTGTGATACTAAAATCTGAAAAACTGTTAAGTACAGTACTCCCATCATGCCAGTGAAACAAATCTGCTTATGGAACTGAGTTTCTTTAGCTAATAAGGCCTAATATAAATGTCGTTCCAGTACCACAGATGTCTTAGTGCAACCATCATCTTGATCATATGCCTATATCTTTTCCCAAATTTCATTTGAAGTCTTGGATTGTGATCCTGTAATATTACTATTCATTTGAAATGTTCGATTGTTTTGTGATTGCAGGGTATGGAGGACAAGAATCAAAGGAACGTCATTCTTGTCAATGCATCAAAGCGGGAGTTGTTCACACTCAATAATGGTCTAAAGTCACTCAACAGAAAGTTACGGTCTTCATGGAAATTGGTTCCGTATGTAACTCGCTCATCTTGCTATAAGCAGAACAATATGCATTGAATGAAGATGTCTGGCTTGAAATGGTTTAAATGACATTATTTCTACAGATTTCACTAATTTCACTATTTTCAGAGTGACATAATATCACGATTAAGCAATGATCATGATAATACCTAAAGACAATCCCCTTGTGGTGATTTCAAGATTAGAACTGGTCCTTAACAATCTATGTTTGTTGTGAGGTTGAATGTGACTGATTTAGACACAGCATGTTGTATAAGTCATTGTATATTCTGGACCAAACTTGATTACTGCATGGCTGCATGTGATTAAATGCAGGTTGGACTGTGCATGGATTGTTGCTCAGAATATCAATCACTGAATTGTCTGGTCCAGATTCAATTATGTACAGATAACTTTCATGTATTCACATTCAGGAATATTGCCCCGTAGAGCAGTAAACAAACAAATAAATAAGTCTACCTCTTTTTTGCCAACCGTATAATTTAATAGTCTCCCCTTCCGATAATTTACTATTGATTTACACCATACTTATGATTGTTATGATTATTTCTTGTTTCAGGAACAAAGATGAAATCAGCGAGGACAAGTTGGCCCAAGTTAGGATATTTCTTATTGCAGGGCCAAGAGAAAAGTTTACAGCTGCAGAGGTATTTGAACTTTCTGTTACGACTTTTGTTAGGGCTATTTCCCTCAAATATGATTATCCTTCCACAATGTTACTGACTTTATCTAAATGATTGACTTAGACATTTCTTTTCTTTGAGCTACCTTGTATTTAGTAATGCTGATGGTGATGAAGAATCATTTTAAGAACTCTATATAGTGTTCAAAATTATGGGGACCCAGGGTCGTTTTTATTTTCATCTGTTATCTTTCATATTATGGACCTCATGAAGCCATATAACATTTGGATCTTGACAAGGACCCCTTGAGTTTCTTGCCTAATTTTGGGGCAGTGGGGTAGCTTAGTGGTTAAGGTGTTAAAGTGGTTAAAGTGTTCGATTCCCCACATGGGTACAATGTGTGAAGCCCATTTCTGGTGTCCCCCACCATGATATTGCTGGAATATTGCTAAAAGCAGTGTAAAATTAAACTCACTCACTGGTTTGTTGTTTAACGCCACACTCAGCAATATTCCAGCTATATGGCAACAGTCTATAATTGAGTGTAAATAATCGAATCTGGGCCACATTATCAAGTGGTCAACATCATGAGCATCATTCTACACAATTGGGATGTGATGACATGTGTCGACCAAGTCAGTGAGCCTGACAACATGACCCCGTTAGTCACTTCGTACGACAACCATGGATTACTGAAGACCAATTCTAACCTGGATCTTCACGGGTCCAATTCAGAAGGGGCGAAGGGGTGGTTTAGTTGTGAAGGCGTTGACTCATCATGCCGCAGACCCGGTTTCGAATCTCTACATGGGTCCAATGTGTGAAGTCTATTTCTGGTGTCCCCACCGTGATATTGCTGGAATATTGCTAAATTGGTGTAAAACTATACTCTCACTCATTTCAGAGAAATTGAAGAGATTTGTCTATGAAGTATGATACAATCTAATGTGTGTTGCTGTGTTACCAACTACAGTGCACTCTGTCAAACTCGGACTCTGTCTTTCTCGGATTGCTGTATAAACAGGACTGAACTCACGGTCCCGACGTAATCCTTCTTAGTTGTCATAATAAAAAAGTTCTGTATCTCGGACTCTCATTATTTCGGAATTCGGACCAAAGTGTTGGCCCGATAAGGTAGTTACATGTAAAAACATTGCTATATAATTCGGACTGAGCAGGAAGTCCGCTTGGCCAGTAAACCTTGAATAAACATTCCGTTGATTGGTTTGTGTTTTTTGTCTTATTTACTTAGCAGGAAGTCCGCTTGGCCAAGACCGCGTGGTCTAGCAGTGAATGCTTATTTACCTTTGATGCGACTAACACCAATTGTAAACTATAAATGAGCCGATCATGTCAACTCAGTGTCAATGTCACTATGCACTTAAGATGCCATCAGACACAGTGTGATATCAATCAGTTGTAAGAAGCGATTTTATTGGATAAAGATTGGTTTCTAATGACGCTTTGTCGCCACAGTCTGCTATAAGGGTCGTGATTGGTCAAAATCAGACACATGACCTAAGGCAGCCAATCATATTACGGCAACGAAAACTTATTGTGGACCCGCTGCCGAAGCAGGTGTCCGAGAATCGTTGTTTTCAATAACATTGCAAAAAATAGTTTATAATTCTAATTCTACTGATAATAGGGAGATAACTCCATTAAAATCTGTGTACTTCGGACTTCTGTATAATTCGGACTTTTTAGTCGGTCCCAAGCTGGTCCGAATTAGACAGAGTGCACTGTATTAGTTTGGGACAGTTTAAAGACAATCCATTCCATCATTTCCCATCAAACATTTCCATAACCTCTACTGTCAGAACTTGAATATTTGTGCTGTCATTCCAAAATATACACTTTTCTCATTCATTCAATGAAACAGATGTAGGAATTTACAAGAGTATATTGTATAGCCCGTTCAGGAAGTATTCATAACGTTCTCATTTGAAATGAGCTGGATTTACTTTTCTGACTTAGCATGTGATGACTATGAGTAAAATGTATGACCTAAGGGACCTTTCATAATCTATGGCTAGGAGGGTGATGATAATTTTTATGGCGAAGCATGTACAATGTGAATGACCCCATTCATTTTAACATTTAAAATTATCATCAAAACCACCACTGCCACCCACCCCCTGGTCCTTAAGGTTAAATGAACACTCCAAGCATTGTTTGGATAAACCATCTGGTCTTGGATTTTAAGATTTCATGGTTAATCCTAATTTTGATATACTAATAAAACATGTCTGTGTTCTAGATTGCAGCCATGAAGAAGTATCTGGACAGTGGAGGAAGTATTTTAGTCATGTTAGGAGAAGGTGGAGAAACAAGGTTTGACACAAACATCAACTTTCTCCTCGAGGATTTCGGGATCATGGTCAACAGTGGTGAGTGTCTTGAAGACCAGTTCTTCAGAAAACTGCATACTTCATTTATAATGTACCGATTGAAGAATTCACTGTGCCTACATTTGTTCCTGTCGTGCAGACTGATGAAATACCATCACATACATTGATTTAACAATGGTAATCTAATATATCTCTTGATTTGGTTGATCATTGTTTAGAAACTTCGTTTGTGTGATTATTTCACAAATATATTCCCTTGTTTAAATTTATTCTACAGATGCGGTTGTTAGAACATCATACTACAAATATTTCCATCCTAAAGAAGCTTTAATATCAAATGGAGTTCTCAACAGGTACAGAGTTCAGTTATTCAGTCTTATTGACTACAGAAATTGATAATAATGAAACTAGCTTTGTATTGGCAGGTTTTGAGTCAGCAGAAATGCAAATTTTGAAGAACTGTACTTTTCGACATGTTTACCACCATGCCCACATCCTCCTCAGTTATAAATGTTTCAATTTGTTATTTCATTTGCATACTGTTCTCTTGAAGAAATTTCGGTCGATATTTTTACCATGTTCACAGATACTTTATAACCCTTTCATTAACTTAGTTATGTTGCAAATATTCCAGACAAATTCAGGTCCATTTCAGTAGACTGAAAATTGTACTAAGTAAACCTTGATAGTACTGTATGCATTATCTCTTGTCTAGTGAAAACAGGACAGATCTAAGTAAGAAAGATAGCTTGGGTCATACTGAGACTGTGGCAGATACTATGACCCCGACTTTAGCAATAATGGTGCTGATGTATGTTGTGATTGTTTCCCCAGAGCTGTGAGTCAGGCAGCAGGGAAGTCCTTGTCCTACGGTGGAGATGATGATGCTAACAATGCACAGTAAGTAGACAGTAGACACAATGTACAAGTTGTACCACAGTAAATAGACAGGAGACACAATGTACAATGTACACATTGTACCGCTATAAGTAGACTGTAGACACAATGTACAAGTTGTACCACTGTAAGTAGACAGTAGACACAATGTACAAGTTGTACCACTGTAAGTAGACTGTAGACACAATGTACAAGTTGTACCACAGTAAATAGACAGGAGACACAATGTACATATTGTACCACTGTATGTAGACAGTAGACACAATGTACAAGTTGTACCACAGTATGTAGACAGGAGACACAATGTACAATGTATACATTGTACCACTGTATGTAGACAGTAGACACAATGTACAAGTTGTACCACAGTAAATAGACAGGAGACACAATGTACACATTGTACCACTGTATGTAGACATTAGACACAATGTACAAGTTGTACCACTGTAAGTAGACAGTAGACACAATATACATGTTGTAACACTGTAAGTAGACAGTAGACACAATATACAAGTTGTACCACTGTAAGTAAACAGTAGACACTATGTACAAGTTGTACCACTATATGTAGACAGTAGACACAATGTACAAATTGTACCACAGTAAATAGACAGGAGACACAATATACACATTGTACCACTGTATGTAGACAGTAGACGCAATGTTCAATATCCAAGTTGTACCACTGTAAGTAGACAGTAGACATAATATACAAGTTGTACCACTATAAGTAGACTGTAGACACAATGTACACATTGTACCACAGTAAATAGACAGTAGACACAATGTACACATTGTACCACTGTATGTTGACAGTAGACACAATGTACAAGTTGTACCACTGTAAGTAGACAGTAGACACAATGTACAAGTTGTACCACAGTAAATAGACAGGAGACACAATGTACACATTGTACCACTGTATGTAGACAGTAGACGTAATGTTCAATATCCAAGTTGTACCACTGTAAGTAGACTGTAGACACAATGTAAAAGTTGTACCACTGTGAGTGGACAGTAGACACAATGTACAAGTTGTACCACAGTAAATAGACAGGAGACACAATGTACACATTGTACCACTGTATGTAGACATTAGACACAATGTACAAGTTGTACCACTGTAAGTAGACAGTAGACACACTATACATGTTGTAACACTGTAAGTAGACAGGAGACACAATGTACACATTGTACCACTGTATGTAGACGCAATGTTCAATATCCAAGTTGTACCACTGTAAGTAGACTGTAGACACAATGTACAAGTTGTACCACTGTGAGTGGACAGTAGACACAATGTACACATTGTACCACTGTAAGTAGACAGTAGACACACTATACATGTTGTAACACTGTAAGTAGACAGACACAATGTACAATATACAAGTTGTACAACTTGACTCACTGGACACACTGTACAACATGTACAACACTGATTAACTTTAGACACACTGTACAACACAGATCATTTGTAAGAATATGGTAGACACTGTACCACATGTTCTTTAGTGAGTAGTCTGTAGACACACTGTACAACATTTTCCACAACATGTAGACAGTAGACACACTGTCTACTAGAAGTTTGCAGTTGTCATGGTTGTTGAGATAATTTGCTGTACAGTGTATTTATGCTTCTATATTTTTTTCCTGTTGGAAACACAGTATGGATCTGGGTAGAACTAGTCCCCAGTATCCCATGGCTTGTCATAACAACTGACACATGAATTCAGGCTATGTGACTTGGCCAGTCTTGTGTTACTGTTTCCCATTGATAGGGGTTATTTCATATGATGGTTTATAAACTCCATGTTATTTAATCATTGCAGTTGTTTAGCTGGCATATGGATGAATGCTGTATTAACTCATTGTCCCAGGAATGTACCAGTTGTACAGTAAAGAGAACCAATTGGTTTGTGCTTGCAGGGCTCTGTCGTTCCTGTATCCGTATGGTGCTACCTTGAATGTGGTGAAGCCAGCTGTCGCCGTCCTGTCTACAGGCACTGTGTGTTTCCCTCTGAACAGACCCGTCCTAGCTCTACGTACAAACAAGGTATGTCAGGCACTGCCATGGAACTTCACTGGATGGGTAACTGGATTCAACAGATTTATTTTAGATAAACAATCAGCATGGAATATGGTTGTCAGTTATCATGCTAATGATGTCAATTGGTCCAGCGTTAGTCATGTTGATGTAGCTTTTTGTGTTGTTTTTATATTTCATTTAAGTATGACAGAAAGCAATTATAACAGAATCTTATGACAATATGTGTCGGGTACTTTTGTTTGAGTATGAACAGCGAGCGCTAGGGTAACACAGTGGATATTAGGCTAAGCTAAATGGGTACTAAGTGGGTACTTGGTTAGTTGAGTGGGTACATGGTTAGTTGAGTGGGTAATTGGTTGAAAGAGTGGGTACTTGGTTATCTGAGTGGGTACTTGGTTATCTGAGTGGGTACTTGGTTCGCTGAGTGGGTACATGGTTATCTGAGTGGGTACTTGGTTAGCTGAGTGGGTGTCTGGTTGACTGAGTGGGTACTTGGTTATCTGAGTGGGTACTTGGTTATGTGAGTGGGTACTTGGTTATGTGAGTGGGTACTTGGTTAGCTGAGTGGGTACATGGTTAGCTGAGTGGGTACATGGTTAGCTGAGGGGGTACTTGGTTGAAAGAGTGGGTACTTGGTTATCTGAGTGGATACATGGTGATCTGAGTGGGTACATGGTTATCTGAGTGGGTACATGGTTAGCTGTTTGGGTACATGGTTATCTGAGTGGGTACATTGTTAGCTGAGTGGGTGCATGGTTAGCTGGGTGGGTACTTGGTTATCTGAGTGGGTACATGGTTATCTGAGTGGGTACATGGTTAGCTGAGTGGGTACTTGGTTAGCTTAGTGGATATTTGGATAGCCATACAAGGTCTGGTTTTCATTCTCAGCATGCATTCTGTCTGCTCATTGTGGTATGTATTTCATGTAAGTTCACTTTTTTTCCAGCAAACAAGAGGAAAGATAGCAGTCCTTGGGTCTGTCCACATGTTCCACGACCAGTATATAGACAAAGAGGAAAACAGTAAAATTCTGGTGAGCAGTCAGGATAACAATAGCGTAATTAGCTCTGTGTCACGGAAATTGGAGACACCAACACACCAACACAATTACATCACATGAAAGATTTACTTTACCATAAGTCCTAGCCATACAAACTTTGTCCTCGTCACGAAAAGACAACTTAATGAATCCTAACTTAAACCAACAAACCTGAACACTGGCTTTTTCTGGATTTTAACAGTATGTCTATATTTAAATTTGGATCTAGTCTGGGAGAAACCATAAAAGAGTCACTTGACCATGTTGACAGTAATGTTGATCTTGATGATATTGATATTAATATGGTTGTTTCAGGATGTCCTTGTCCAGTACCTCACCACAGAGGAGATCAAACTGAATGCTATAGATGCTGAGGACCCTGAGGTAATGACAGGCACTGACAGACACTTATCATGATGCTTGTGAAGATTCACTCTTTGAGCTGTTTCATTTATCTACTAGTCCGTACAGTGAAGGCGACTTTGTTTATGTGAATTCTTTTGTCAGCAGCACTTAAGTGTCGTCTGATTAGTCATCATTTTCTCACATCTGGATATTGTTAAGATCATAAGAAATCAATGGTAACTTGCTATTAAAAGAATTGCGTATTCTTTTTCAGTTAAATTAGATAAAATTCTACTATGCTGACTAGTTTGTGGCGTTATATACATATCTCTCTGCCTCTTTATCGCAACTGCCACTTATGACATCAAAGTTGCAGTAAACCATGCATAACATCAACCATGTAGCAGTGTTCAAAATTCAGCATGAAAGTCAAGAGATCCTTGCCCTAGACTAGATTAGGGATCCCTAGATTCAAATAGAATAGAAGACCGGAAAGACTGCTAGACCCCCTTAATTCGGAACACTGTTGTAGTCAGGATGTTATGTTAATACATGTGTTTAACAAAGTGTTAACACTACTGGTGTTGTGTGTTCAGATCAGTGACTACAACCAGCTCCCAGAAGTTGCCAAGCTGGCTGAGGAGCTGAAGACTTGTCTCCAAGAGAGTGACGACATACCTCGTGACATCACAACACTGTTTGATAACTCTCTCTTCAAACTTGATACTAGTCTCGTACCAAAGGCAATCAAGTAAGTATTATGTCATGGCATTTTATGTGGGGATCAACTATTGCATAATGTGAATTATCCAACAGCCATTATACAGGAAACTAAGACCCCAACTAAGACCCCAACTCAAAACTATGGTCATATGTTATTATATGGCAGGGGAGCATTGCAAATACTTCAGGTCTTGTGGCAAATTTTCATTTTGGATGATGATGGATGGATTTATCTTTCTACCATGAGAATATGCTGTTGATTAGATTCAATTAATGCATTGACATCTAGTTTTAGTGATAGTTACCATGGTTACTCGGACCCAGATTTCAGGATATCCATTTGTGCAGACATTGTTTTACAGTCAAGTTAGTAGGAATTGGTCCCAAAAATTTGTCTTAAAAGTAATAGATGACATAGTTTGCTGACATCTAGTTAAGAATTGATTTGACTAACATGTTCATGTCCTTTGATAGACATCGGTACACTGGTTCCTACACCAAATCGGACTTGTGGTAAAGTGACATCTGAATCAATAGAATTATTCAGGTTGAGTGATGGCAGTTTCTAAAGAGGACCTAAATCATTGCAGTTGTTTTGTTGTGCTTCAGAGGTTACGATCAGCTTGGATGTAAACATGAGTCACTGACACTCATCACGCCCCAGTTTGAGACGCCTCTTCCGCCTCTACAACCAGCAGTATGTAGTTTAGATTATTTGTTTGATAATCAGCTATTTGTCTTGTTGAAAATTCTGAAGGAACTTAAGTGTCATCAGATATGACTACTGATTCCAGAAAGATATTCGTTCTTTTCCTTCCTTGTAAGGGCAATGCACAAATGAAGGAAGCCTGATGATGAGATTCTTACTTGTGCCTCTCCTTTGTATGTTTCTACATGTCTGGTCCTGTACTTGTTAGGTGTTTCCCCCGAACTTCAAGGAGCTGAATCCCCCAGCACTGGAGCTGTTTGATCTGGATGAACAGTTCTCGATCTGAGAAAGTCCGAATTGCTCAGATCACCAACAAGTGTAAGTGTTTCCCAGTTTAGACTTAGTCTTACCGGATGATGGAACCTGGTCAAATGAATTCAGATCTCAACCCAAGTGATAAGTGTTAAACCTATGGGAATCCTATAAGTTCAAGTATGTTCCTCAACATGTCTATGACATCCATTAACAGGCCATTTGGAGAGAGTAATACGTACAGATCAAGTGAAAGGTAGCAGGAAGTGAGTGAGTGATTTATTTAAGTTTATTGACTCTGTGAAAAGTAATCCAGTAGTATCCCAGTTGTAGGTGGGAGGAAAGCCCTAAGTGAGGCATGTGTTGGACATTGACCACTAAACCCAATAGCATTGTTACAGTGCTGACAACCTAGAAACAATCAGCTTGAAACGTAGCACAGAAGATAACTACCATCCTCAGCAGGGTTGGAAATAACTTTAAAATTGCTAGTGTACTCCGGTACAGTGGCACATGTAAAATCACTTGCCCTGATAATTTTTTCCACTATACTGGCCGTTTTCTTGTTGATTTAAAAAAACCCAAAAAACATAATTAACCTTGGAATATCAACTGGACACCGGTACAGTGTGATATACAAATTTGCTTGCCCGACAGAAAAAACACTGGACTCGGGCATCGGGCAATGGGTTATTTCCACCCCCGGAATCCTGTTGTCAGTTTTGTGACCCTTTTGTCAGTAGTCTGCAGCAAATGACACTTCATATTCCCTATTTAAATTCTAAATTCCCATTCCTGACAATTTACAAAAATAACAACATTAACAAATTCAAATGTTAACAATATGACAGTTGTTTCCCACTGTGTGTGCAACTGGCAATTATATTGGAATCCCATAAAAATCCCTGTGTTCTTCAAAGTGACTCACTCAAGCATTCCTGTGTCCTGGTACCATCAAAGAGACCTGCCCATCTCACTCCACTACGAGTAGGGGCACGGTTACTCAGTAATCCAAGGCACTACAATAACTTATACAGAGTTGCGTCCCTTGGGCATGACAGCAACCTCTGATTGTGGGTTGGAATCCCAGTTTGCTCCGATTTTGTTTTATTGTTTCAGCCTGCCTGTACTTGTGACTTTCACCTAAGTGGTAAACCATCTGTAGTTCCTCCCACATCAGACTGACATGCCAACTGGAATAATGTTCAAAGAAGCTTTAAACCCAACTCACTCACTCACTCATCACTCATCATTACACATAGGGGACCAAGAACGTCAAACAATATTGCCTGCTTTGTCTATCTCAAATCTGCTAGAACCTTGTCATGTTTGTTTGTTTGTTCAGGTACTGATGATGATCTGGAGTACTATGTACGAGAGTGTGGGGACATTCTGGCTGTCACCAGCAAACTCCAACCAGACTTCAGAGATGCTAAACACATAATTGAATATGTCTTTGCTCAAGTGGTAGAGTTCAAGAAACTCAATCAGGTAGGTGTTAGATGATTTGTTGTGACACCTATAGATCGACATAGGTGTTAGATAATGTGGTGTGGCACATGTAGATGTACATAGGTGTTAGATGACGTGGTATGACACCTGTAGATCTGCATAAGTGTTAGATGACATGGTGTGACACATGTAAATCTGCATAGGTTTTAGATGACATGGTGTGACACATGTAGATGTACATAGGTGTTAGATGACATGGTATGACACTTGTAGATCTGCATAGGTGTGAGATAATGTGGTGTGACACATGTAGATCTACATGGGTGTTAGATGACATGGTGTGACACCTATAGATCTGCATAAGTGTTAGATCTACATGGGTGTTAGATGACATGGTGTGACACCTATAGATCTGCATAAGTGTTAGATGACACGGTGTGATACATGTAGATATACATAGGTGTTAGATGATGTGTGACACCTATAGATCTGCATAGGTGTTAGATGATGTGGTGTGACACCTATAGATCTGGATAGGTCTTAGATGACATGGTGTGACACCTATAGATCTGCTTAGGTTTTAGTTGATGTGGTGTAACACTGATACATCTGCATAGGTGTTAGATCATGTGGTGTGACACATATAGATCTGCATAGGTGTTAGAAGAAGAGATGTGACACATGTAGATCTGCAAAGGTGTTAGATGACGTGGTGTGACACCTAAAGATCTTCATGGGTGTTAGATGACATGGTGTGACACCTATAGATCTGCATAAGTGTTAGATGACACTGTGTGATACATGTAGATATACATAGGTGTTAGATGATGTGTGACACCTATAGATCTGCATAGGTGTTAGATGATGTGGTGTGACACCTATAGATCTGGATAGGTGTTAGATGACGTGGTGTGACACCTATAGATCTGCATAGGTGTGAGTTGATGTGTGACACATGTAGATCTGCATAGGTGTTGATGTGGTGTGACACTTATAAATCTGCATAGCTGTTAGAAGACGTGGTGTGACACATGTAGATCTGCAAAGGTGTTAGATGACGTGGTGTGACACCTAAAGATCTTCATAGATGTTTGAAGACGAGATGTGACACATGTAGATCTGCATAGGTGTTAGTTGATGTGGTGTGACACTTATAGATCTGCATAGGTGTTAGATGACATGGTGTGACACCTATAGATCTGCAAGTGTATCATGTGATTATGGAATCTTTAATTGTGACATCTTCCTATAGTTTCAGCCACTCTCATATGTAATGTGGAAATATTAAAAGATCTTCTGGTTGATGTTGTAAGAGAAAACAGCTCATTTAACTCTAATTTATAAGATAAACATTTTACTGGCCTGCAGATGCAGCAGACTGCTTGCAACTGCCCTGTTCTATCTGTGTGCTAGTCTCCCATAGTTCTGGGTATATCCTAGCTGTGGTAGCCATATCTCAGGTTTTTAATTATTTACAAGCTGATGACTGGAATATTGCTGGCTGTGGTGTTACACATCATAACTGTTCCGTCTGATTTCAGGACAACGACTACAACCCAGTTGAGTTTGGAGGAGGGGCTGACAGCTATGCATAGAATGAATCACCATGACGTCTAGGTCACAAGAACACCCAACACCCACAACTCAAGTTCTTACAGATTCGTGTATATCCCCAACCCAGTTCAAAGTGAAGGACAAAATTATCACTTCGTCATAACAATGAAAAAATATACACAGTTCAGGCGTTAAAGGGAGCTGGGTCAGTCTGCAGTCCAAATATTTTTCATGGAAGTCATTCCAATCAACTTTGATAATCTGCAAAGTCAAATTATATAATACACATAGATCATGAAGTTAATGTTTATGAATTATTCGTACTGGTACATATTTTATGTATTATTAATTGTTTGGCAAAAATGACTGATTACTGAGTTCTTGACTGAAAATGGCCTCCAGATCATGGAGCAAGTTGGGACTGGCCAATTTCTCATCACTAATCATAATATTTAGAGACTGCTAGTTTCTATATTAAAAACATGCAAGGATTGTAAACTTTACCTACCTGGGGAAATAACAGCTTTGATAAATGAAAAGTGTTTCCAGACAGCAATACATTATAATTCATGAATGGGAATTTCCTGATTTGACAAATCCACTTCAGCTGCTCATTTAGGGAAAACACATTCTTGACATCTCATGTGTAGAATTCATACTGATATGTGATAAGTGTATATTTCTCATATAAAGACATGTTTTTACAGATGTTTTAGAGACCCTGATAACCTTTGTAACAGTGTCTAAGTGATAACTGTTATTCTGTAGAGTACAATTTCTGAAACACATTGCAAACCTATGTGGCTCAATTAGTAGTAATGCTTCTACTTTTGAAAAACAGTGAATGTGTAATGTGAGATAAAGAGTGAAACCGAGGGTGGATTGAGGGTAAAATAAGCTCTTCAAAAGTGAAGTCCCCAGCAAATATTCCTTAGGTTATGACATAATAAGAATTGAGAATCTATGACCTTCACAGACCCAACAATAATTTCCACAATAACTTATTTAAAAAATCATATATTGCTTTTCTGATGCATACATATTTAAAAAGTAGTCTCACTAACACCATGGTTACAAATGTTTTTGATCTTGTGTTAAAGGAACATTCCCATAGGATCAGAAGAAGTACACTAAACTGAATAATCTGGGCCTAGATTTTCGAAGCTATCTTAGAGCTAAGATAGTCGTAAGTGCCATACATTAACATTAACTTACGACTATCTTAGTGCTAAGAGAGCTTCGAAAATCTAGGCCCTGGTTGTTATCACAAGTCATAATTCTTCTGTTCTTGTTACAATGCATATTTTCCGTCCTGTAGTCAATGGTTGTAAATGCTCTCAAGACCAAATACTTATCTTAACTGGAGTATGTCTCAGCTGTTTTTTACTTCAAAGTGTCTTTACAATGTTAGATCTGTATATATATTAAGAGTATTTATTAGGTGTTAATGTGTACACGCCTGTAAATTGTTGGATGTTTCTGTTTGTTTTCTTAAGTCTCTATGATTGTAAATAAAACTATCTTTGTAATATATCTTGCTTGTCTAATTATTCCCCTGAGGGGAAATGTGATAGTATGATTATCAGTCCCCTCAGTTCAAGGCATTCCTTGTGTAAGTGTGCCAGATGTCTTGCAGAAGGTTGTCACTTAACATGACTGTAGGTGGAATTATCTTGTACTTTCCTTGTCATATCCATTCATCTCTTTATTGAGACATTTGGATTAAAACGTTTCTGGAGACTTTTAAACAGGGTATATATAAAGGCTTTGAATATTTTAACTATCATTTAACTGGTCTTATCAAACTAATGCTTAGTCTCTGAATATATATAAAAGTTTGATAGAAACAAATAATTCTTTTGAAATTGGAAAAGGAGCTCCAGTTAGATTGGTGATTCAGAACCTGAGGAAATCTACCCTTACTTCATTTAGAGGTTTGCATTGCAGAAAGGGCTAGGCAGAAAGGAAAACAAATGGTTCAGTGACAGACTAGGACTTACCTGGCTTTGGACCATCCTAACCCTTGCTTTACATTGAAATACCTGGGGCTGTGTGGTTAATTTAGTGTTTCATATATCTACACATAAGCTATAGTTTGGCATGAAATGCATGTGGACCTGTTTTTTTGTAAATATCTCTTCATCCAATGACCCAATCGATCTCAAACTGTGCAAGTGGATGTTTTGTCAGACAACCTAATCACATTGTAAATCACCGATTTTATGCATTTGTATTAAAGAATCTGTCTATGTAACTGTCAACAAAATAAACAGCAGAACGCAAACTGCTTGTAGAGGGAGGGAGCCAATGACCTGTAACAGCGGCAGTGTTGGATCATAAAGGTCAACGTTCGTCAATGTAGGTCAGCTGTGCACGTGACAGGTATGAAGAGGCGTTCATTTCTAGCAAATAGTCGGCAAATGACATCTCTGATGACCGTGATGTCAAAAGAATCTAACTTAGGATGCCTACCTTTTTGTACAAGGTTTTGTTTATTGGTTGTTGGTTTATTTTTCACAATTTTTAGCACGATGTTCTTTTTCATGCCAAGAGCAAAAGTTGTACGTTTCATGTAATCCGACACCTTATAAATCGGTTTGCTACGTTTGCTCTCTTTTTAAAAAAAATTCAACACATTTCTAATTAAACGTTTAGCATCATCTGTATAAGCTTTCATGATGACAGCTAGAAGTAGTCAATGTGAATGATCCAAACGGTCTATCACTGTGCAGTGCACAGGTAACTATCATGAACTGCACGTGCATTTACCTTTATGACCCAACACTGCCGCTGTTACAGGTCATTGGCTCCCTCCCTCTACAAGCAGTTTGCGTTCTGCTGTTTATTTTGTTGACAGTTACATAGACAGATTCTTTAATACAAATGCATAACTGTTTATTTTGTTGACAGTTACATAGACAGATTCTTTAATACAAATGCATGAAATCGGTGATTTAAATGTGATTAGGTTGTCTGACAAAACATCCACTTGCACAGTTTGAGATCGATTGGGTCATTGGATGAAGAGATATTTACAAAAAACCGGGTCCACATGCATTTCATGCCAAACTATAAGTGAGGTTAGGCTTAGACTTCACTGTGGCCTATCCAATAAAGGTACTGCATGTAATACATAGTTACACCCCTTAGCCATGCAGGGATCTGCTGTTCATGGGTTCGAATCCTAGATTGACCTTAATTTTGTCCGTGGGCATGTCGGCACCATGTCCGCCTGGTGGGTTTCATCCCCAACTTTATCCCTAAGTTTTTGTTGTTGAGTAAGCATGCTCCTGTGGGGTTTCCGGTTCCCATTAACCAAATCTGGAAGTACTGGACGGCCAAATACTCAGACATGGGCTACGACTTTGGTGCTGTAGCTTAAAGCGATCTTCAGAGCTGAGGTGATCGTAACTCCAATACCTTAAGACTTACGACAATTGTAGCGCCCAGGTTGCTTTGTGCAACGACACCTTGGTCGATAGTACGCCGTGCACTGACAGCGTTAGACGTTACTCGTTATGTCAAACACTGGTTTATCAGGTCCAGTATTTACATGTGGCCGCCATATAGCTGGAATATTACAGAGTGCGGTCTTACACTACTCACACAAATATTACAGAGTGCGGTCTTACACTACTCACACAAACCTCGGACAACACGACTGGCGCCACCATCTATACATTTAATTGGGTGAAACTTTTACTCACAACTCATTACGAACGAAAGGGCGTTATTGCAGCAGCGTGGTTAAATCGTTCGCCCGGGTTCGATCCTCACATAGGTATAAGTGAAGCCCATTTCTGGCGTAACCCGTCGTGATATTGCTGGGATATGGCTAAAAGCGGCATAAAACTAAACTGACTCACTCATTAGGAACGACGGTGCGGTGGGGTAGCAGCGTGGTTAAAGCGTTCGCTCGTCACGCCGTAGACCCGGGTTCGATTCCCCACATAGGTATAATGTGTAAAGTCCATTTCTGGGATATTGCAAAAAGCGGCGTAAACCTATGCTCACTCACTCCCTTATTATAAACGAAGAACCCAGTACTCAATCTTCTTGGGATTGACATTTTGAAAATCGCACAACATTTTAACTCATGACAGCACGAAACATATTAACTATCTGCACGAGCAGGGTAACATGATCTGCTGTTTACATGAAATAGCAATGATGTCGTTTTATGACTGCTTAATGTCACATGGCCCTGATCTATTTGTTCAGGTTTCGCCTACGAACAGGATATGTGATGACACGAGACAGACCTGATCAATGACTGCATGATCCCGATAATCAGCTATTGCAGGTGCAGTCTGAACACTTCGTTAAAAGTGCCAGCGGAGATACAAAGATAATGTTTATTCCTAAAAATGAGGTTAATAAAATAAGCAAAGCCTTTCATTTGAAAGAGAGAGTGTGTATCGATGTACGACGCACTAGCCACAGGGGCTTGTAACGCTAAAAAGGCATCATGGTTACTACTGTCACTGAAGCAAAGACCACGTATATACGGGGAACGAACAAAATCCCAACCAGACAAAATCCCATAGGACAGAATTTCTTTGGACAAAATCCCACGCCAAAATGACCAACATAGGACAAAATCCCATTTTTATTTGTTATCGCTACCCCTTTTCACCAAGAACCCAGTGAGTTAATTATCATGTTTTATGACAGAGGCCAGTGAGATAAGTTGATTAGCATGTTTTCGTAACAGAGGCCAGTGGCTGCATTGATAAATTAAATTGTATAAATGTGTCTGTGATGATGACAGTTTGTATCAGTGTTCCTAAATGGAAGTACCGAAGGGCAATAAGGGAGGAGTTGAAATAGAATTAGATGGATTTTTGCACTCTAAAGAAGGTTACAATTAAGAGCAGTATTACTAGGTGGGAATGTTCAAGGAAAACTGCATGAGAATGTCGTCGGCCGATGAAGACATCGTTGACAATGGAGAATCCGGTTCTTGTTACATCTCATGGTCATTCAGCGGACGTGTGACATGTAGAAGTCATGAAATTGAGAATCCAGTGACCAATCAACCCTGGTGAAATACGACAACAGCCCATCCGATTGCAACGTGTACCCCTAGTCTTCAAACTTGATGTCTGGAATGTCCATGATGTGACCCTGAACAATCAGCAGCGCACCAATAATCCTACTGAATTTTGGAATTCCATTTTGGAGCATTTAATCGGCCATAATTTATTTTAGAGGTAAAATAAAAATATCTACTTTAAAATAAATTGTATGTAATTTTTCACACTGTTGGGATTTTGTCCGCAGTGTGCAGACATTTTGTCCTATTGGATTTTGTCAGGTTGGGATTTTGTCAGGGTGGGTTTTGTCCTACCCTCGTACATACCTTGATGCCCGTTTTTTGTGTGTGTCACAAACCCCTGTGGCGGTAACAATATTCCAACGATGTAACCACTTATTTGACTACCCCATCGCTCTTCCTTTCATTTGAAATACCACAGAGAAAAATGGCGACCATCCTCAAGTTTGAACTCAAACGGAGGCCATTTTGCTTTACGGTTTTCCGATACAGCCAGACTGATGCTGGGATTTGGCATGCAGGTTCTTTCTCATGAAGAAATATTTGTGATTTTTGTGATTTGCTTCTTTTTACATCTCGCAGAAAATGTAAAAATGTTGTTCTCACAACGCACTAGGCTCTTGTCTTGACAGCAGGTTATGGCCATACGAAAATTCAACTTTATTCATGGCATCACTATTTGCAAACACCTATTTTCTCTTTTTCTCAGAATCCTTTGCACCAGTGGTTGTTTATCTCACAATAACTATTTGACCGAAATAAGGTTAATGGGGAGCCACAAAGCCTTGTAACTATATTTTTTGTTTTTCTGATACAAGTTCGTCTGTCAACCAAGTTGAAAAAGTGCATGTTGTGTGACAATAGGTATTTTTCTCAATACAATGCAAAACAAACACCGTTGAGCCACTACCACAGCGTTTAACCAAAGGCTTGCTTTTATATACTACCTTCCTTGAGTAAATTCAATACATAGTAGTTGTGTTGTGTGCTTTGTATCGGCTGGCCACTGGCGGCTCTTATGCCAAACAATGACAAAGGCTACTGCTACCGGAATGGTTGTTTTTCTAGCACTTCAGAACCATATCTCACCGGCAGTACTTGAGGGGAGAGAATATACCCTTTTTGTCACTGGTAGTGAGTATGTCCATCAAACAAAGCATTATATTCACATTGTAGTGTGAACATTTTCCTCTTATAGACAGTTAAATCATACTGTGGCGTTTGTGTGAGTGCGTGTGCGTGTGCGTGTGCGTGTGCGTGCGTGCTTCGTCTTGTCATATTTTTCAGATTTTACCCACCCTATTTCTTTTCCGACTCCAAAACATATGTAATATTTTTTCTTTATGACCCCCTCCTTCTCCCCATAACAATTTCCCAACTTAACACTCATGACTTCCCAACCATATTCACACTCATAATATATCTATTTGAAAAATAAAGGTGTTACATTTTTTTCATTATGAAAATTTAACAAA